ATACTTAAAAAATATTACCAGCTTTGAATGATGTAACAAGCAACAGGCTTGCTACAATCAAAATGCAGAGATCTGACATTATTTTTAATGCCACTGCTAAGATATCCAAGTTTGTACTAAAACTTACTAACTTACAGTAGCAGTCACTGCAGCATATTGATAATCTAATCATGCACAAATAGACAAAAAATAAAATACAGATTGTTCCATTCCACCAGATCTTGCAAATCTACTTTTGAAAGGACTACAAATGAGTGTTTTATTAGGCCCACTTCTCCTAACATCATATTACTGTAAAATCAGACTACAACACTAGACTACTTTTCACACAAATCCCATAAGCTAAAGCTATGAGTGATGTAATAATATACAGCTCCCTTTTCTGCAAATCTGAACCCCTCCAAGTTTTATTAACAGCTAACATGCAAGTTGTGACCTGCACACATCTGGTTTTCACAGCTAGATATTGAACGAAACTTCATCTGAAAACCAATTGAGGAAGACAACAATCAAGGACCACTCTGGGGCAACTGAAATCAAAGACATTTATAAAGCGGTTAAGGGGCAAAGAACAAAAGCCCCTCAAAATATTCCCAGTTCAAAAAAGGCTTGTAACAGTCACTGGAGAAGCAGACAGTGTGCTGGATGCCTCCCCTCCCCGCCCCATAACACTACAGCCAGTGACAAAACAATCAGTGCACAAACTAACCCAAAGGCTAATCTGTTCTTCCTCCAACAGAGAAAAAAAAAAATAGAAAAAAAAAGAGGATATAAATATCTATATTAAAAACACAAACATCCATCAAAACCAAAGCTAAATGAGCGCTCTGATTTTAGGTAAACTTGTCTAGCCATCTGTTAAAAAACCAACCAACACACAAAACTACACCTACTAACTCAAATTTATTTTAACAAGCAAGATCATTTAAGGAGTAATAGATACTGGTCTTCTCTGCAGGACTCTACACAATGAATTAACTGTAGACACTGGATCCTCTTGCTAACAATCCTCTGAATGTTCTTGTTCCAGAATTAAGAGTACCTTGTTCCAATTTAGCTTAATCCACTTAATCCATTTGGAGAGACATATGGATACCACAAGAGCTAGATGGAATTGATACTCAATTCTGAAACTGCAATCCAAGACCCAGTCATCTGGGTTTAGGTAATAGCTTGCTTCATTGTTTGAATGGGCAATTATTTGGCTGTTTGAAGATGTCTGGTCTTCCCGGTCTGAAGACTTCCTGGACCAAGGAAACACATCTTTTGCATCCACCAAGACTCAATGAATTGCCATCCTTCTGCCTAAAATCTCCAAGGCTTCTCCTAAAGTCTCACATAGAATGCATCTAATACACTGACAGGACTTAGGATTCTTTATAAGCCCCAGGTCATTCACCAATCACTTTTCAGAGGACATCTACCAGGATAAAACCCACTAGATTCTTTGTGAACTTGTCATTACACTTACCCAGCAAACAGGAGGCTCAGATTCCACATCCTCCAGCTGGAGCCAGCCACAGCACAGGCGAGCATACCAGTTTGCGGGGCCAGGAAGTAGTAAATGCAAGCAGAGGGAGCAAAATGTATGCTGCCTCTGTAGCTTACTTGTCAATGGATGTAAAGGAGGGGGAAAAGTCCAAACTTTGGGTGAACCTCAGGTTCTTTCTAAAATTGCATATATTTCGTAAGCAGGAACCACAGCTCACACCCCTTAATGCTCCAGTCTTCACAAACCAGGATGCTACATCCGTACATTCTCTTTAGGCTCTACCCCAGAAATTAGGGCCCACCTTAGTCCACTCACCTCCATTCCCGTTGAGGCGATCAGCAGAAACTGCCTGAAGGGAAGTACCTGAACTGAAGGGTAACTGCCTCTGCAGATACAGTTACAGATTGTGAGCAACTGCTTGTACATGCGACTTCACCTTGTGGTTTGTATTATCACCTCTACACAGAAAATTACTTCAACATACCACCCACAAGGTGGTTACCCTTTGGTAACCCCCAAACTCTATCATACATAACAAACTGAATTTATTTGTCAGGAGTCAACATTCAAATGTTTTGAAAAACCTGTTGATACCAGAGTTGTACATGCTGATAATGATCACCTCTCCTCCAGTTATGTGCTGTTATTTGGAAATGTGGTGGAGGCATCACTAAACAAGTTCAGGAAATCAGACCAGTGCTCCAGATGCATTTCACTGGAGCTTTGAATCAAGCACAGGTCATAGTTTCAAGAACTGTCTCCTCACATACCAGACACCCAACACAGCACTTTAGCTTAGGCACTGTAATTTGGTAACCTGAATTTCTGTCATTAAGGCTCCTAGAGTTTAAGCACTCAAGTAAATTTCTTGATCTAACACAAAGTGTCATTTAAAATCAATATAAAAAACAAAGTCAGGAATAAATGCTTTAAGTATATAACCTGACTTATCTCAGGCAAATTTTCCCTTGCAGTCTAGCCCTGTGGAGCTGCTGTAATCTGCAAATTATCATTTCTGTTCTAACAATATTGTGTACTAATTTAGTTTGCATGTATTCTATTCTAAACAAACTGAAGCTGTTTAAGAAAAACTATTTATAACAAGATTTATACTACCTGAAAAAGGTTTACCACTTCAATAAAAAGACACGGTAAGTTCATTTGGGTTAATACAAATATAAGAGCTATTCTTGAGTAACAACTGCAGGCGCGTTTCCTGCACAACTGCCACACTTATGAGTCCTTCTACAAATAGGCAAACCCTAGGTACATGCTATTATTGCTCTCCATTTGTGAATCTCAATTTAAACAGAAATTTTACAGGTTGGCATCACTAAATGGAATTCTAACAGCATTCCAACTTTTTATTTGAAAGTTGGCAGGCCCTGGTATGTTACATAGCCAACAGTTACATTTTTCCCCCCCTTAGTTTTCTAACATAAAAACCAAAACAATCCATCTCCAGTATTTTAGTTTTGAAACTGTAATAGCCACACTTAGATGTAATAATGGTCACAAAGTAGATTTCCCTAAAAACTTACAAGACTTCTCTTACAATGCTACTTTTAACAGCTACGTCAACAAGAAGAGGCATTATTCATAATATATGAATCTAAGGCAAACAAACCTGTAATTTTTGCCTGAGATTAATAAGACAATAACTGTGCTGTTCTGTACAAATGAGTGCTCTAAATGAGCTTTCTACATCTTTTTTCCACATAGACAATTTCAAGTTCCTTTCCAGATAAGAAACAGCAGTTTACATAGGTAATTCATTAAAAAACAAAACAAAAACAAACCAAAAAAAAAAAACCAACCAAACAAAAAAATCTTGCTCTTTACTTAATACCTTTTCCTGAGTCTTCCTTTTTGGATGTAAATTAGTCATTACTACCAGGCTAAGAGAAGAGAGTATGTCAAGAAACATCCAGTCCAACAAATCGCTTCTTTGCTACTAAAAAATACCAACATTTTTGTGTTTCATTTCAATATAAACGAGGTAGTCCTGAGTACTGTAGTACTACAACAACAGCAGTACCCCTGAGATTATCTGATTTTATCACCTCAGCATTACTTGAAGAAAACCACTGGAAATGGTATACAAGTAAACTGCTGATTAGCTCGTTCACACTAATCCCTGACATAGCATACAACCAGAAGAACATAAAATTTGCTCCATGCTATTGGTGAAAGGCTATTACTGAAACTATTAATATCTATGTACCCTTTGTACTTGCACCCGAGACACTGTTATCAAGTAAGGAGGTTACAATTGCACATCTTTCAATTTAGTTCATTGGTATAGAATGAAGATTCGACTGTAAGATACAGTTTAAAAATGAAGTTACTGCTATAACACATGAATGAGCAGGACAAAATGCACGTGTATACACACGCACACAGAGGTTTAGTAACTACTGGAAATAGAAAACAGGATTACACTGAGATTTCTGCTATGCTGTTGCCTCCTCCCTACTAAGTCCTATTTTAACCTCATCTGTAAGAATGCCTGACAGCTGCAAACTACTTCTAATCTCATTTCAACCTTTCATTTTTACGTATTTACCATCATTCCAAGTTATTCACTATTCCCCACAATCTTAGTACAATTATTTAACAGATCAGTATACAGCTAAAGGCCACTAAAAATCAGGTTTCCCAAAGTTCTATTATTTGCTTTTAGCTAAGATTATCTTCTTGGGCCTTATCTCTTAGTATTTTGATTGAACCCCTGCATTTTCTTCAGGACTTCTAGGAACTATTTAAAGACAGTCATCTTTTCCTTACCAGTAAGTGGATTAGTTAATTCGAGTTTACATGGTGTGGCTGCCTGCAGTGCTGTGTCCTTCATGATGGAGGCATGCACTTGCAGCAAACCCTGTCTTTCACTACAGTGTGCCCCCTTTCTAAACAAGGCTTTTGGGCATAGTTTCAGAAGATGCAGGAATCATATACAGTCTAAACATGTTCAGCCTCCATAACTTGCATTTATCATGTTTTCTCACCTTATCCTTCCATTAATCCAGGTAATTAAGAGATGATTGTAAACAGAGCTTATCTTTATGCATGCATCAGAACCAAACTCCAGACTCCTAGAGGAAGCTACCTGATCTACTTTCATCCATCAGTTTTCAATCAAATGGGAATTCACTGGTAGCCATCCAAAACTGACCAATAAAAAAAAAAAAAAAAAAAAAAAAAAGGTATTTTTTCCCCTCTCTTCAGAACAGCCTCGAAGCATCACCATACCAAAACTGAAAGTCTCACATCTGCCTCAACTACCTATTTGCAATAAAGCTTTGTAGTTTTTAAATAATTTTTTTTTAAACAGCAAAAGACAACTTTATTTCATCTATTTTCTAGTGCCTTTAAAAACAGTAACAAAACATACAGAAAGGTTGGTAGAAAAATCCCTCTCTGCTTATACTGTTGTTGTAAAGTTCTGTGGCTAACCACACTTCTCACCTAGTGGAATTTTACCACTGTGGAGTCCAAACTTTTGACTGTTTCACGTTACAGTGGTTTTCAGTTCTGGTGTGTGCTTTAAGCTTCCCACCTCCTTCTTCAGGACATTAAGTAAAGTTCTAGAACTGTCCAAAATCTTCATGTAAGCAGCTTCAGTTTCAGCAAGAATTTTATCAAGCTCATTCCGTGAAGCTACCTTTTGGGCCAGATTTTCACATACACACTCCAATTGTTCACTCAGGACGTGGATTTCATGCTGGAGTTTATTTTTTTCCTCTTCTGCTTGCTGGATTTGCTTGTTCAGTTCTTCTTTTTGCATACACAAATCTTCAATGCATTTCACGAGTTCATTATTGTAACCCTGAAGAACAGCTCCCTGCTGAGTCATCCTCCCAGAGCTCTGCCACTGCTCCCTGAAGTCCCCTCTCAGCAACAGCCTCCTGCGCTCTAAAGACCAAACCAAAAACCACACAACAACAACGAACAAAAAACGGAAAGAAAAATTCTGTAAGAGAGTTACCATGAACAGTGCTATGCTAGCAAAGATAGAGGTTAAAAAGCCGCATCTCTTCCTTTTTCAGGAAGGGTGCAGGACAAAATGGGGCATCTACACCTTTACTGAAGGCTCGTCTCCGCTGTGATACCTTCACGGCAATACTCCAGAACCGAAATACCGCTATATGTTTTGTAACACCATAATACCACTCTGAACAGAACGTTACATCTGACTTCAAGGATTTGGTCGGAGACAACTTAATGACCCTTTCCCCAGAGACGCCTCAGCAGTCACCAGCCCGATGCCCTCGGCCTCTAATGAAGGGGGATCTTCCTCGCACACTGATCGCCAGCCACCGCTCTCCCCAGCAGAGCCCGGG